TATTTTTTGTGTACAACTTCAAGAGCAAGATGAATTCTTCACACCTGTGCTTCTAGAGCTTATTTTTTGGAAAGAATTGGATTTTGTATTAATTTTGCAGAAAACACTTGTGGTGGTTTTACCATGCTAGGCAGCTAAACACCACAATAATTTTCTCACTCCCCCTCCTTAGATGAGGAGGGGAAGAAGTAAAGTAAAGAAAAACACATGGGTTGAGATAAGGATAATTTAATTAAAGGGAAAAAAATATTATTATTAAAGAAATATTATTATTAACTAAACAATTTAACCAAAGGAAAAAAAATGGAAAGGGGAAAAGAGAAGATGAAAGGGAAAACAAACAAACAAACTAAACAAAGTCTATGTGGAAGTGCAGAGGAAAGAAATTACTTTCTATTTCCCACAAATGAGCGATGCTTGACCACATCCTTGAAGCAGGGCCTCAACACACATAGCTGGTATTCGGGAGGAGGACCGATGTTTTCACGAGAGCCCACCCCTCCCCTCTTCTTCCCGTTTCCACCTTTTATTGCTGAGTATGGAATGGAATATCCCTTTGGTTGGTTTAGGTCAGCTGCCCTGGTGATGTTTCTTTTCTTACTTTTTTGCCCACCCTCTAGGAGGGTTAGAGAGAGTCCTGATGCTGTGCCAGCACTGCTTAGCAGCAGACACAACACTGGTGTGATAACACTGCTGTTCCAGCTACAAGTGCAGAGCACAGCACTGTATGGGCTGCTGCAGGGAAAGTTAACATTCCAGCCAAACCCAGTACAACACTATACAGTGTAAAGGGAAAAAAAAAAAAATCTCCTTCTAACACAGAATGATAGGTAAAATCAGTTTGTGAGGTGTGGAGGAAGACTATCAATGAAGGCTCTGGACGCAACATGGAAAAAAAAAAAAAGTACAAAGGACCTTTTCACACTGTCATGTATGCCTTCATAGAATTGGTCTTTGATTTTGAAAAGTTTTATTGGGATAAATTCATAGCTTAATTTCATTCACAGTGTTATGTCATCACCATAAAGTTACAGATTTCTGGGCTTTTAAATAACCACGTCCACCTGGGGTAGACACCAGACTGAGGCTAATTCCACAAGTCTTCCTCATTTAGAAATTAACTAAGACACCAGTCACTTCAACAGCAATAATTCTATTGAACATCTAAGAATCCCACTGATTATTGCCTCATTCCACAAAACCTTCTTGCTAGAAGTCTATTATGTGAAAGCTGCAAGTCTAAGGAGCACATAGATTTAACAGTGAGTCCAGAAGTCAGCTTTTTTTTTTTTGTTTGTTTGTTTTTTTGTAAAGTTGAGTTATAGAACTTTTTGACATTTGCCAAAGCTTTGTTGTCAAGTCAGATGAAAGATGCTTTTGTCTATACAGTCCCCTTAATACCTATGACATCAACAAGATTTTTTTGATAACACCTGAAAATAAATCTATGCATCTTTCAAAGTAACATCATTTATCATGTTTGCAAACTGAAATAACTCAAAAATATGAAAAAATGAGTACAACTTCCTTTTACAATCTCAATTTCATTCCTATGTACTACACATTACAATTTTTAAAATTCATAATCATATTTTTCCACCATGTCCTTGAATTGTTCGGAGCTCAGGATGATGTCTGCTTGGCAAATGATGCAGCAATTCAATATTTATTTTCGTCCTGATTGTTTGGAGATTTCATAGCTCCATTCCTGCACTATAAAACTGTCTCAGCCATGTGGGGCAGAGTGTTCCAATGGTTGGAGGAATTAATGCTGGCTGTTGCTCCACTTTGCATTGACATTTTTATTATGATGTAGTGTGAATGATTACTTTTAATTCATTTGTTATAAAAGTATTTGGAAACAAAGGTTAAAAATCATTCATCTTCCACATTTTTGGCACAACTGTGGGAAAGAGTTCACAAAAAATCAATCAGTAGAACTTGATATGAATGAACACTTTGTACTTGGAATAACTTGGGAAAAAAAACACCACCAACAACAAGGCCCATAGTCATGGTAAACTTAAAAACTAGATGCATTGCAAAATCTTCATTCAAGGAGTAATCTATGTTGCTACATTGAACAAGTTTGGTGGAGGGGGATCTCCACATCAGTAAATGATTGATTTTCAGTCTGGTTGCAAAGAAAGCAAAATATTAAAAAAAAATAAAAATATGTATTTATTATCTAATGTTATGTTATGTTATGTTATGTTATGTTATGTTATGTTATGTTATGTTATGTTATGTTTGTTATGTTATTTTATTTTATTTTTTTTCACAGAAATAGAAAATAAGCAAAAGCAACCCCCTGGTGATTAAAATGTTCCATTAACTAAAACTAAATGTTTCCTGTTGGTGCTTATGCAAAATTAACTGAATTTGTTGCTTCCCAAAATTGATGTAGGAAAAGCTAGGCATTTGCCAGACAATTTAGAGGCCTGAGCATTCACCAATATGCAGCAACTCAGAATCAAGTCCATCTCAGCTGGAGAACACTTTAACCAGGAAGGTATTAATCACCATGTCAAGGAGGAGGAAGTAGGTTTTATTTAACATTTTATATACATTAAATTGTTTCTAAATCTGCAACCAGTGGTCACTTGTTCCTCCTTCTAAAATAACAAATTAAAGAGGTGTTTTCACCTCTTTTGCAACATGCTAGTTATGTGTTTTTGTAAGCTCAGACAGCTGAAAAAGGGTAGATATAGTGAGACCACATGAAATATCCTAATAGTCTAGGTACTGAAATATGAGAGATTTTATCTTGTGCCTATCATACCTGATAGGAGGTGTTATGTTTCTAAGGGATTGCTAAAGCCACTGGCTTGGAGAGCATTCTGACCTGGGCTTTCTTTGGAGATCTTCCACTTTGTATAAAATTAATTACATATGTACTGAGAATGCAAAATGATTCTCCCATGTGATGAGTAGGAGATTTGTGGAAGTGGTAAAAATATCTGTGTTTAAACGTGAGATTCAATTAGAGCTCTTGGGAGAACAAGTGATCATTTAACATGTAGGACTGCGATGCAGCCAGATGTCTTGACCATTTATGTCAGAGGCTGGACTCAAGGATGGAAATGAGTCTGAGTTTCCCACAGCAGTTTTCCATATAATATACATGTTCATTCATACTATTGTTGCCTTATATAAATTACTGCCATACTATCAAAGCTATGAATTCAACTGGTATTTGAAAAAAAAAAAAAAAAAATAGAGGTGAGTAAGCTCTCCTTTCTAGCAAATTTACAATTTTATTGGAAAAGAAATATTGATTAACTAGATCAACTCCTGAGTTAATCATGTCTTTTTTTTTTTTTCTACAATGATTTGTGCATTTTGAACCAGTTTGCTCTGATTTTACTCATGTGCATCTTTGAATTTGTGTCAAATAATTTTTCTGTGGGTTGAAGTGCTGAAAAAGATTGGATTGTGGGGGCGTCTGTCATATGTGGTAAGCTAACTCTCTGTTTTGACCACAGCGCAGAGGAAAGTTTGAGCATTCCAAAAGAAATGAAGTACACATAACATTCCAAACACCCTCTTGATCCTATCTTGGGGTGACATGGATGTATTTTAAGATCTGCTGAAGCTTCTCCAAATAGCAGTAAATTTATGGACCTTGCCTAACATTTCATTTATCTGGTGTCACTACCACACAGAAGCAGCTTATTATTTGTAGCAGGCAGGTAACAGAGGACTTCCATCCTGTCTTACACTAGATAAACCTGGATGTTACCACTGGCTGGCTTACAGGACTCTGTTCTAACGAAATTCATTGCTCATACACGCTTTCCTGGGCCCCTTGGCTCTGCACATCCAAGAACTTTGCTAGGAAGAGGAAGGACAAAGCAAGCACATGTGAATTCTGCTTCTCTGCAGGTACAAAAGTAGTGTCAGAGCACCATCATTCTGTTGGTAGAGAAAAGGAGAGGGAAGAGTAAGAAATGACAATGTGGGAGAGTGTAAATGGTAAGGGAGGCTAGGGAAGTATATGACTGGTGAGACCATCCTGTATACACTGGCCCAGACCCAAGACTAATATTGCAGTTACTGTGACACTACAGTAGTATTGGTACCTAATCATTTTGGTCTAATTTGAATCCATCTTGAATTATGATACTGACATGGCATTGCTGTGTGGCTTGTCACTGATAAGTGTGCCTGAAAGCTTGTGGTCTTTTATCTCTTCTGTTGGCCTGCTTCACTTCATCCTGGGCCTGACATCTCTGTCTGTATACTTTTGACAAAATATCACACTTCTCTACAGCACTTGTAAAAAGCACTGCAATAAATCCTTTCAAACTCTAACTTTGGATTTTACTATCAAACACTTAAGAACAGAATATTTTTCTTTCTCCTTAAGCAGAGACTGAATTCACCTTGCAGGAATTTTCTTCACTTCCCCCATTCAGTTCTTTGCAGGTGCTCATTTGCAGGAGAGAATTTATGGCTTTGTCCCCTGTTTTCCTCTCCTAGGGTGGTGCAAATTACCTGGGTCAAGGACTGCTTTTTTTTTTTTTTTTTTTTTTTTTTTTTTCTTAGTCTCTCCCTCATTCTGCTCTGTCTCTTGCACAGAAACAGCTTTCCTTCCCTCTCCTTTAGATGATGGGCTCTTCCTCATTATAGCTCTTCATCTTAGGCATTTACATGTGCAACAAATAATAATTAAGGAAAATAAAAGTATTTATGAGGCCCACTCCAAATCTGACATTACAGAGAGCAAAACTGTCGATGAGTACCTTTTTTGACTTCTCACTAGCAGGCAGTTTGTAATTTTAGGACCAGGAGCGCCTGGATTTGTGGTGAGGAGGAAGTTTTCAGAGATGTGGGTGCTTTTCCTTCCTTCCGCCAGCAAACAGCGATCCACGCCAGGATTTGCTTTCTGCTCCTGTATTTCAGATATGCAATGTGTAGCACGTTTCTGTATGTGTGTGCGTGTGTGTGTGTGTGTGTGTGTGCGTGTGTGTGTGTGTGTGTGTCTCTCCCTCGCTGTATCTGCCTCCAGGATTTCGCACTGCCTGGTTCAGGAGGCTGCTCCAGCGCTGCGCGGAGCAGAGGTTTCCCCGGATCCCGTAAATACAGGCACAGGCACCCAGTGCACCACACGCATGCACATGTACACACACACACACACAGACACACGCACGCACAGAGCCGCTGTCCAGTCCATCCCCACGCCGGCTGCTTTCTCCACCACCTCCAGCCTCGCAGAGGCGGCAGGCGCAGCTCCGCGGCAGATCGCGCCGCCGCTGACCCGGGACTCCGCTCGCAGCAACGCGCCCGCGGTGTCAATCTCCACCACCTATAGCCAGGGTCCCCGCCACCACATATTTTTTATTATTATTATATTTTATTTTATTTTATTTTTTGGCGGGGGGCGAGACCCTTTTGCATTTGGACCAGCAGCCGGAGGGACGAAGCTGCCTCTTTCCCTGCGCACCGTGCGCGCATGAGTGTGTGTGCGCGACCACCTTCCCCCCGCCTCCCAAAAGTTTGCCTCGGCGGCCGGGGGGCTCACGGGCCGCCGCCCCCTCAACCGGGGGGCGCGGCGGCGGCGCGGTGGCTGCGCGGCGACGGCGCGGGACTTGCGCGCTGCGCGGGACTTGCGCGCCGCGCCATGCCGGCGGCGCGGTGGGCTGCGCGCTGCGCCCTGGCGGGGCTGCTCCTGCTCCTGCTGCTGCTGCCGCCCGCGGCCGCGGGGACCGACAGCAAAGCGCGGAGCTGCGGCGAGGTGCGGCAGGCGTACAGCGCCAAGGGCTTCAGCCTGGCCAGCGTGCCCTACCAGGAGATCGCAGGTAAGGGGCTGGGGTCGCGGAGAGGTGATGGTGGTGGTGGTGGTGGTGGTGGAAGGAGGGGTGTCACCGGCAGCCGGCTGCGCGCACTCGCCGCGGATGCGGGGCTGGGCTGCGTGCGCGGAGTGGAGCGGCTCTGCCGGCTCCCGGGGGCAGCCGGTGCTCGCCGGCGGGGCGCGCGCGTGTAAAGAAATGAATGGGTTTATGAAACATTAAAAAAAAGGCTATGGGGGCGGGGGTAAGAAAAAGGAAAGAAAAGGGAAAAAAAAATGAGGACGCGGGTGAGCCACAGCAGCGATTTTGTTCGCCTGCAGAAACTTCTTGAGAGTTGCAGCCGGGTTGCTGGAGGCAGAAAGCTGTTCCGCAGTGGCTCCTGCTGCCGTTGTGTGCAGGGGGCAATAACTTTGCCCTCTGCCAGCGGGGACGGGGCGTGAGGGAGGAGGAGGGGGGAGAGGCAGCCCTGCCTGGGGCCGCCGAGGCTGGCAGGCTGTGTCCTGTGTCCCCGGCCGCTCCGTGCCCCCGCCGCCGCCGCTGCCCTTTCTGACGGGGCGAGACCAGCCTCTTGGAGGCGCAGCCCAAAAAGATCAGAAGCATTAGCTGCTGGAGAGAAATCCCCCTCTCCGCACCACCTCCCCCCCTTCATTCCCCCCCCCCCCCCTCCAGCCGGCTGCGTCCCCCGCAGCCGGAGACGCCGGGCAGCCTGTCAGTTAGCTCTTCCTTATGCTGAAACATGCCTACAACAGGTTATACCTCAGTCTACATACGAAACGTGTTTTATTATTATTACAATTGTAATTTTTATTTGCCAGCTTTTCCCTTATCCATATTGCATCTTTGGAACTGATTGAATGAAAATATGTCCGAGGCAGATAATCCTTTAGCAATTGGAGAGCATGACAAAAAGAGAGAAATAATATGAGAAGGCATGAGCTTGAGCTGCTCAAATTGGACTGCTTGAGCCCTCAAGAAAGGTTTCTGCTTAGCCACTTAACACTTTGCTGCTAGATTTTGCTGTTAGTACAGTGAATTAGATGCTCCTCAGTTAGCTTGCTTCCTTTTTAAAGTTGGAAGCAGTACATTTTTCCTGAGGTGAAATAAAGCCACAGTTACTTACTGTGCACAATTTAGCACATTTCAAGAGGCATGATAAATGTGGAATATCTTAGGACAGTGAGGATGTATTTCATAAAAATGTTAGGAAGCTTGTTCCATGTTGCCAATGCATAACAGACCCCGTCTCTGCATAGCCCTGGTGGTTCCTTTGGACAAGTAGGTCTGACCTACTAACATGTGTTGGAACAAGGCGGGAGAGAGTGGGGCCTGTCCATATTACTGTTCCACAGGCACCTTCATCCTTTGGGCTCACCAATTGTCTGGTCTTTTTGTGTTCTTATTTAAAAACTTCTGCTTAAGTTGCTTGTTGTTATATGCAGTTTTATGAAATCTCTCTTGTGAGCCACAGACCCTGTGGTCATACTTTCTTTCCCTTTGCTTAATGTTACTCCATCTGCCTGGAGACAGGGTGGTAGAATATTCCCTGTCATAATTAAAGGAGAATGAATTCCAGTGAATTTCAGTGTTTTAGTAAGTTTGTTTAAACACTTGTTGCTTTCAGCTCACAGACCAGTTTTATCGTCTTACTTATTTTTTGAATGTTCAAAGCAAAGATGCCATTCACTTTTAAGGCATTCTCCTGGTTACTCAGTTTGCAAGTTTTTGTTAACATGTACCAATACAGAAAGACTCATGGTAGCTAAATATTTAATAATAGTTAAATCTAAAATCACTTTTCAGTTTCCTCTTAAGGTTTACAAGGAACACATACTTTATGTTTTATGCAGGTGTGAATTATTGTTTTCTGCACTTCTTATTACAAGTTGTTTATTTTCTTTGTGGCTTACCTGACTTTTGGTTAGTTAGTGTATAGGTGTATGAAATTTAAAGCAGTTTGTGTGTAGCTACTTAGTTGTTGGAAGATTGAGATTGTTGAAGGTGTGTATCGGAGAACACTTTTCCTGTGGTGCTGAGAGGTTTTATAATAACTGCTTGTGAAGCATGAGATCTTGTTAATGTGAAAGCTACCTATTTGCAACCAGGCACAATGTTGGAAGTGCTTAATTAAAGCAATTAACATACAGATTTCAGAGTAATTGTTTTCTTTCTGTCCTTTTCCACCATGCTGATTTGGTTAAAAAAGCAATTTGTTACTGTTATGAAACAAGTGTAGTCTGTCAAAGGCCCCATGTTTTAAAGAGTTCAGAGTACTTTAATTATGTTCATATTTCTGAACAAGTGTGTTTTTAAGAGACTTTTCATTGATGACTTGGTTATATGATGGAAAATAGTAATACACAGTATGGTTGATGTCTTTTGATTTAGCAGTAGTCATATGTTTCCATTTGTCATTTGTTAAAAAGCTACTTTCTGGCAAGGACTGTTGAAACTGGATAAACTGAAGTGGTAGCACAGATGTACTCATGCAAAGAGCTCAACAGTCTATTTAAATAAAAGAGGCTATGGACACACAGAGGCTAGGTACCCCTCTGCTGAAAGGAGCAACAAAACCAAACTTGTTTATAAATTTTTGTAAAATTATTTATACCAGCATTCACTATAAAATTCTGAATGGAGAAGGTGGAAGTATAGGATTTTAAAAGCTACCTGTTTGTGCACTGTAAGGCAAGGTTTTCCTACTGTATTTTATTACAAATGAAATGTGTTGAAGTTGGCAGTGATATAATTATGGTCATCTGCTATGCCTTTATAACAATGCTAAATTGTTCAATGAAATTGTATAGCAGTTATTTGTAACCAGCTTGCTTGCATCTAACATCTTGTCTGATCACCAAATTCTGGTGCTGTGACGTACACTGAGTATGGCATATAAAGATGGTTTACAACACAGGTCATCAAAGGAAGTCCTCAATAAAGGAACTTTGCCTGTGAATGATGAGGGGTAGATAGAGGAAAGTTTGTTGTGTATGTATTATGCTGCTGTGGGCCTGATTCTGTGTAAAACCAGCATCAGTCACAGGGTGGGTGTCAGTAGTTTGTGTCGTACACTGGGATATCCTTGTAAAATTTGTCCTATTGTAAAACTGAGCATCCTGCATTTGAAAAAGAATTGAACTGTCAGGTTCATGCTACTGTAATCCAATATTCAGGAGTTCTGAGCAGAGCTCTTCATGACTTTATAGAAATGTTTCAGTCTAGGAAAATCTGTCACCTAAAAGTTAATTCAAAAGTGAAGTCACATCACATATCTGTTAACAATACTTGTTTTTAATCCAGCCAGGATTTTAGTAACTTTAAGTAAGCATTGTATGGGAAACCAGGAGTATGAGACATCAAAGTTAAAGGTGGAGCATGTCCTTACCTCAAACTGTTCTGTTGTCGGATTTGTTTTGTTTTGCTGCTTTTTTTTTTTTTTTTTAATAGATGTTGAATAATAATGTATTTAATAGTGTATTTAAAGAAACACTAGAAGTGTTTCTTCTATAAAGATGTTGAATTCTAAATAGTTCTTAAGAAGTTAGAGGGCTTTGTTCTGTGCAGATGATGAATGAGGTGAGATTCTGGCAACACATAGACACTATAGTGAAAGTAACTGAAATGAAAGCAGAAGCAAACCCTTCATTTTGAAGGTCAGGAGTCACTTGAAATTGTACTTTGATGAATGGGTTTCATACTGGCATAATTTAGAGGTGTTGGCTGAAGAAAACTAGCAAACATAACACAGTTGCTTGTAGCTCTAAAGTGGTAATAATAATAATAAAAATAAACTCAGTAGTCACTCATGCAATTGAGCTATTAGTCCATGCCAAACATTCCGATATATGAATGTTTTTCTTTGCTTTAAGTAGTTCTAATATGTAATGACAGATTTACAGAAGAACAGTGGAAAATTCTCCTGACCATGTCCATGTCAAAGCGCTTCTTAATTAATGTTTTCTTTTACTGTTTCTTTACTGATGTCACTGAGAATTCTGTGAACAAATGGGGATTCAAAGAAACCATGTGTAGTTGTCTCATGAGTATAAAATAGGAATAGCCTTATCGAAATCAATAATATAATCGATGCAAACTTGTGAAATCTGAATTGGGCCACTGGAGGTTAATTCATTCCTGAATTTAGTGGCGAAAATGAAGATGGATGTGGAATTTGATGTAATCTACTGTGCTTGTCTTGTTTTAACCCTGTTGTAAAAGTATCCTCTACCTTGTGTATGACTGCTTCTCACCTCCGTGATTTCAGTAACTGCAACAGCAAGAGACTCTCTGGTCACACTCCCTTATGATGTGCCCGATTTTCCCATTGTGAGTGCATGTGTGCATTTAGCAAGGAGGGAGTATAGTTTTTCTAAGACCTGGCTTTGCTATCACTATTGTGCATATTTATTGGTTTGTATGTGACCAGTTCTATTAAAGTGAATACAACTTATGTATGCACATCTAAACCTGAAAGTACTCTTTGTAAGATCAGGGCCTTGGAGGAGAAATAGCATGTTTTTAATGTTTATAAATAATTGATTTTGACTGAGAATTTTAAATTTTAGCATCTGGAGTTTTCTGATCTGATTTTATGGTGGTGTATTTTGGAAAAGAGGATTTAAAGTAGAAGCAGCAATGCTTTAATAATTAGTGTAATGATGAATTTCAGTGTATTGTACTCTAATTATCTTTTTTTTTTTCTATAAACTGTTTGATTTATAATCCAAAAGCATACCTAAAGCTATAATATTTTCCATACTTCTAAGTGCTATTGTGTTAAACTGTTGTAATGCTGTATTAGTACTGGTTTCATCATATGCTATTGTGAAATACTCCTGAGATTAGGTGGTGTTCAAACACCAGAGAGGTCAAGCACTATGTTAAAAGCTCAGGCCATTCTTTTTATATTACTGCAATAAAGAATATATTCATTTCATTTATATTACCACTTGGCTCTCATAAAAGGTCAGTTTCAGCTGAATGTACAATTACTTGCAAATGGCAAATCTTAT